TAAACAGTTTTCATCTTATTTATTTTAAAAAAGTAAAACATTGTTGAACTGCTGGTCCAAATATATTTATTATTCTTACTTTACCGTAGATAGCCAGTTATGGTTAATTAAAATATTCTTTGTATTGTTACTTTGTATTGCTACCTCCACCAGCCCTTCTCTCCCCCAGTCCCCACTCCTCCAGTAGCCCCACTCTGATCATGTGAGCTACCCCTCCTCATCCTCTCTCCTAACACCTCACTCTACACACCTGCCCTGCTTCTCTCCTCTGGTGCTGGTCCCTCCCCTGCAGGTGTCTGCCCTTCTGCTTCACCCCAGAATCCCCTGGAACCTGCACCCTCCTGGTGCCTCCCCCTTCCCTCACTGCCCCTGTTCCCTTCATGCCCCTGTGCCCTCACACATGATTTGCTCCATCCCGGCCTTCCTCATGCCCACCCCTTCTTTCAAGCCTTCTCCCAGCACCTTCTCCTCCGCCCTCTAGCCCCCAATGCCCTTACCCTCTCCTCTCCCAGCATCACCCTGTCCCCCCTCCCACTGACACCTCCCCTCCTGCCCTTTTCCTCGTTGTCTCCACTTGGCCCTCTGGCATTTGTCTCTTCTACACGCTGTACCTTGGTGCCTTCCCCTTTCTTCTCCTGACCTGCCCCCTCCCCTCAGCACAAACCCCTTCCTCTCTCACCCCTTCCCCCTATTTTTCCTGCACCTCCGCCTTCCAGTTTGAGTCTGTAATCGGGCCCGGCTCCAGCTGCTTCCATGATTCCAGACCACGTGCCGGGCCTGGATCTGGGCTGCACGGTTTTAAAATTTAAAGTCCTAGGCCATGACGTCACGGCATGCTGGGCATCTCCCCTCTCAGCTGTTGCACGGGTGTTTGAACATGCCACGCATGTGCTCCCTTGGATGTCTTGCAAACCTGGCGACTCCCCTCTCAGCTGTTGTGCGGAGGGGGGGCTCGAGACAACTGGAGGGAGTGCACCATGCAACAGCTGAGAGGGGAGACGCCCGGTTCGCAAGACATCTGAGGGAGCACATGCACGGATGTCTTGCGAACCAGCGTCTCCCCTCTCAGCTGTTGCACGGCAGCATGCATTCCCTCCGATAGTCTTGTGCACCCCCTTTGAAGACCACTGTTTTAAAACACTGGCGTGGGAGCACATAAATGCCCCAGCGGGCGCCATGGTGCCCGCGGGCACCACGTTGGGGACCCCTGCCCTACTCTTAGGATGGTCCTGTTATTATCAGGACACCTGGTTGCTTTCTCTGTCAAGCACAATGGAACCCTTAGAGACAATGTAGATGCAACATGCTGTTGTTACTTTAGGGTAGGGTGAGTGCCAACCCATTCAAAACTGTCCACTTAATTCATGCAGGTGCTCTTCTTTATAAACGCAAAGGCATCCAATCTGGGTAAGACAAGTTTGCTCCTGGGCCTAAGGCTTCTATTCATTTTCACCCCAAACAGATTGTTAGGAGCTGAGTTCTCACTCTCAAACCCCTTGCAAAAGGCGGTTCATTCAGGAATGGAAATGCTGCCTGATTCCGGTTGTATCATTGTAATCAGTTTGTCAGCTAAGTAAGGCAAGGCACATACACTTACTCTACCATCTTGCAATGCAAATACACTTCCAAGTTATTATCTGATCAATACCTTCTCTTTGTACTAGGTCTGTCCAGACTGGTTCAGACTATAAATTACTGCCAATTGTATAACTGTCATCAGCCTACTGGGGGAAGGAGGGAGCACACATCTGGCTAACATATCCATGTGCACATCATATCTTTATCAGTGATATGCCCCCAAATGCACAGAGGCTTTATTGTCTCATCCGTAGCTCTTGCATACTGTGGGGGGGTCTTATGACTGCACACTGCACGTAATGAATTATCACAGATCCTGGCATCCCAGGTGAGATAAAGACAGTCACAGCACTGCCAGGAGCTTCAGTTGTCTGGCTTTACCCCGACAAAGTGATGCATCCCTCATCAGGAAAATGTGACAGAGAGAAATTCTGCTGGCTAGGTCTGCATCTGCAAGTACAGAGCCTCATCCAACGGCCAGAAAAGTCAATTTCCATTGCAGCCCAGAGGACCAAATAATCACCATTCACGCAGGAAGGAAAAGAAAGGGAAGCTAGTTATATGGCTTCAGATTCTCATTACATATTTCAAGATAAGCTGCAGAAAAGAGCAATCTATTAAAGGAAAGAAAACCTTGAGCTGCATTGTGTCCGCTCAATCTGCAGCCTAAATAAATTCTCCTCATAATGTCTCCCAGTTCCTGTACTGCCTGAAGAATTTTCCCTACTCACCTTTCCATTTTTGTTTTTCTCGTTTTAAACTCTGAGTCCATTCATCCTTCACATCACATGCATGGGGGTCTAATCCAGAAACCCTTCTGTCAAACTACTATGAAAATAGGCACCTTAGAAACATGAATAATTAATCATAAACCCCACAGCTCGAAAAGCTAGCTAGGCATGGGAGAATTGGCTCAGCTGCAAGATTCTTGTACCACTCTTTATGCAAAACTCCTATTGAAACTTTGTCACGGGTCTCAGCAGTTCATTTAATTTAGTCTCCTCTTCCCAATATTTTACATTTTCATGTCACCTCTGCACCTATCAGATCCCAGCTGTACTAGAAGTAGAAATGTCAGCACACCACAGCTCCCGGGAATCAAGAATAACTGGAGATGAGCCAGAGTTGGAGTTATTATCCAAATCATTCTTCATACTAAAAACTTGGGGCTCAGCTAAAATAGTGTATGAATCTATCCCATGTCGCTTTGGGGTTTTGCAGAAGCTAACGCAAAATCACCCTTATGGAAAAATCCAGTAAAAATTAATTGGGTCAACACAATAATGCTCTATAGAAACTCTCTTAAAAACCACTGACATTTTTTTAAAGAATGAGAACATTTCCACCAATTTTTAAATCTACCCGAGGGAATCCATTTTCTATTGATTTCACTCCCTGCTATAGAATTCTATGGAATAATCTGAACATTCTATAGAAAGGTTATTGTGTTCGTTTACATTCCATAGTGGTGTTTTCCCCCTCTCTTTAATCACAAGAGAATGAGAAAGTCTGTGACCATAGTGCATCTGTCTGGAAACAGACAGTGCCAGAAATCCCTTCCCTATCAGATTCCAAGCCCGATTTCTAAACCAAAGCGGCATATGAACTAAACCTAGGAAACATCTGAGGTTTTCACAGCACTCACACACTTGTAATAAGGAGCAAAGTTTCTTTAAGAGCAGTGTGTATTTGTCCATAGCATATCCGCTGAAGAGATCAACGCTCTCGACTTAATATTTGCAGAGGTATAATGTTCTTCCTTCGTAAAACTTGTTTAGATGACAAGAAAGATTTCACAATAAAAATCAAACCCTAAACCCCAAAACAACCCAAATTTCCTGCAGCCTAATGTGATTAATATATTTGTACTACATACACAATAATGTTGTCCAATTGGCTTTGACCTATTTTGTACACATTTTTCGGTGTTATTTGTGCCTTTGCAGAAACAGCAGAGAACAACTAAGTTTAGTTCCTATGCTGCTTTGCTTTAGAAATCGGGCTTGGAATCTGATAGGGATGGTAGTCCAGCCTAGATGCACGTTTTAGGCGTTAGAAAATAATTTACATTTTGGACTTACAACTTGAAAAACACATGAAAGCTAGCTCCTTTTTCTGAGCTAGTCCGATTGCAGATGTACGTCAGCTAAAAGAGTCCCCCATGGATTCAAAGCCTTGATGTCCATTTTCTCTGTTCATTTTAATAATGGGTTCCTTTTCTTTTATTATATGTTAGTGAGTATTTGAAGGCAATCTCTCCACTGGGCTTTGTTCCATCCTTTTCAAAGCCTTGCCCATCAAAACTCCCACATTTCAAACACAGCATGAGAAAGCCTCCACCAATAGCGACTTTGGAAGCTATGCATGATGAAGCAGAATTACATTGTGGCTTATAAAGGACTGGATTGCTCAGAGGAGTGGACTGTTCAAGATATGGATTATGGGCTACAAAGCATTCCAGGGCAAGATCACAAGATCAAAGGCAGCCCAGAAACAACCAAAAAATCCTCACAACTGGTATTTGTTTAGTGACTTAAACAGGTTTAGCGGTTTCAGTCCAATTCCCAGTGAACAAGCATCCACAAAACTACCACCACAGCTTCCTCTAGTTGGCCTAGCAGACAAGCCCAGTATTAGAATGGGTTTTGGAAATGGGGCTGCTCTCTCATTCCCAAAGGTGATCTGTCAGGGTAGAGTCATGTAGAAGGGACAATGCAGGGAAGCTTGTGCCTGTTGTGTATTTGCTTCGTGAAGGAATAAAGGGCTTCAGTTTCCTGGGTTATCAGCTGACACCTTTCATGAGCACCTGTCAGGGTTGATCCCCACTCTACCACTCCGGGTGTAGCTGATGGGGGCCCGCAAGAGACCTTAAATACCTTGCCTCTATAGGCTCCCCAGAGTCACAGATTCACCGATTTGAGGAGGTACCTGCCACCATCAAGTAATTTAAACCCTGAAAACCAGGAAGAAACACTTGAACTCCTTCCCCAGCAGTACCCCCAAGCTCTTTTGTCACAAGAGAGCTTGAAAAAAGAAACCAAAAAAACCATCACAGGAAACAAACTGTTTCTCTGATAGCTGACCTTTCAGGTTAGCAGGCATACACGCTAAGGCCATGTCTACACTGCAATGCTATTTTGGGATAGCAGAGGTATCCTGAAATAGCTATCCTGCATCTTAACAGCAAGCCCTTGATTTCGAAATATAATGGACTCACTAGTCCGACATTCCTGTAAACCTCATTCCAGGAGGAGTACAGGATGTTTTGGAATAGCGGGTTATTTCAAAACTTGGCACTGTGTTGGCCCCTCCATGTGTAAATGTGGAACCACTGTAAATTTCAGCAATTACATGTTTGCAAAAATAAACACTTTTTAACATCCCTTCCCCCTACTCTTATTCAAAGGATAACAATGACTTACCATCCATATCCAGGCGCTGCATGATAATTGCCAATTCCACCTCACTAGGCATGTATCCCAAAGAACGCATAGCCATTCCCAGCTCCTGCTTCGAGATAAAGCCATTCCCATCCCTGTCCAGCACCCGAAAGGCTTCACGGATTTCTGTAATAAGGGAGAAAAGAAGGGTGAAATAATGTCATGGGGCATTAACCTCTCTAAACAAAGAATATACATCTCTTTTTATGATATCAACGAGATGTTTGTTAATGTTCCAGTAATAATAATCAGGATACAGTTATAAAAGAACAAACCTCTAGTGACTATTACAGGGATAGATAGATAGATAGATAGATAGATAGATAGATAGATAGATAGATAGATAGATAGATAGATAGATAGATAGATAGATAGATATTATTAACCCGCATAAGAGACCCACTAGGAGTCCAAAAGTAATTTGTCCCTAGGCAAGTTATTGCAGAAATATTTATTTGGGGGTTTTCTGAATTTCTCTGCAGCATCTGATATTGAGTTTTGTGTGTGAAATGGGATACTGCTCTGGGTAGACTGTTCTGATCTAGTGTGGCTATTCCTACGTTTCTAGAATTATAATCATCACAGCAGCACTGGGTTATAATACACTATTTCATCAAATGGACTGAGTGCTTTTCCAAAAAAACCATGGTAAACCTGCCAGCATATTTATAAGGTAGATGATTTTTCTCCATCATACACGCAGGGTAATAAATCCATGACCTTGTCACAGTTTAAGAAAACCTAGGCACGCGACCCTGTAAATTCACACCGAAGCGTGACCCTTTCACGAGGTCACCCACATCCCCACATTGTAAGGAGGCATCAGGACAGTATCTCTCCACTATTAAACAAAGTTCCACCAACCTAAATAGGAGATGTTCACCTCCAGCAGTGAGGTGCCTTTCATAGAAGACTCATCTCTCCCAAATCAAGCCCTAAATATTTATTTTCTTTCTCACATGATAAATCCTGATGTATGTCTTCTAAGCCACCTCCAGGCAATTTCCAGCCCCCTACTTCTTTCCATGGCATTCCTCTAATTTATGACTGTTTTACTGTTATAAACAGCCTCCGGTCAATAAAAATGCCATGAGAACCCGAGAAATCATCCATCATTCTTCCCAACGCTGGCTCAGCGTTTGACATCTGATACGGTTTTTGTTTTAAAGGTGATGGTCCTGCCCCAAGTCTGTCTTTGCCATACAGCTCGGTACCAGTTCCCTCTCTTGGAGAGACCATGTTCCACCAGCGCCTGGAGGGCTCTGATGGGTATCCAAGTTTCACATACTTTGAGGCTTTCTTAACACTGAGGCTCCACCATTAAATTCCCCACTTGGTGATAACTGCTTAAAATGCCGGGCATTTTGGTTCGTGTCATTTCTGGAGTCTCAGCCAGCTGGGAAGCCTTCCTACTTCCGACCGGGTTGTGTGGTTTGTTGTGCTTTGTTAAACAGCTTTCTTTTTAACATGCATTTGGAATGAAAACATAGGATGTTTCATTAAACACCTTTCAGGGAGCTAATTAGCTATTAACAGGTTCTGTAATCTCACATCAACCAGCTCTTTATGATCTCTGCTAGGTTACACAGACATTCCTTATTTAACATGTCATCAGTGAGGTTTATCTTACTGGCGCATTGTTTGTAAGGATGTTGACTAATCAGTTTGCCCAGGGCCATAATATACCATTCAGTAGTAAACCCACAAGAAGGCAGAGGACTCCAGGAAACTCTGCCAGGGGATCCACAGACTTTCTGATGATCTCTTGAAGGAGAATAGTTCAAGGAACCCCAGAGGAGCCCAATGCACATTCCCATAAGGTGAGGCATGGAACAAACATCAATATTGCTAGTACCCACATTGTATTCACCCACATAGGTCGCCAAGGGGCGTTCCAAGGCGGATGGCGACTCTTCACAACTTCCTACTCCATACTTAGTTGTACAATGTAGCATTCTGGAGATTGCTGGGAAAGTTTTTCTGGATATCTGCAGAATCCTACAGTATAGACATACCCCAGATGTCTCATGCTTTTGTCCTCCCATAGACTGGGCTACCTGGTCAGACTACATTTCTCATAGAATCATAGAATATCATAGAATACTAGGACTGGAAGGGACCTCGAGAGGTCATGATCCACCATGATTCCTCTGTGGAGGAGAAGTTGTATAGCATGTGAGTGCCATGGCCCCAGTGTGTCATGGCCGACAAAAAGCAGTTGGCGTACAGCCCACAGAGGATACTGAGGACACAAGCTCACCAAACAACTGGTATAAGGTATCGTGGCAGCCTATGTGCTTGTTTTAAAATCCTTTTACTAATACAACAGAACTATGTAGCACTTTAAAGACTAACAAGATGGTTTATTAGGTGATGAGCTTTCGTGGGCCAGACCCACTTCCTCAGCTCATCACTTAATAAACCATCTTGTTAGTCTTTAAAGTGCTACATAGTTCTGTTGTATGTGATTCAAGATATTTTAGTTTCAGCTAAAATTTAAATGTTCATTTTTAGGTGTTTGGCTTTCAATGTTCTGTCATAAAGTTTCATGGGAAAATTTTCCACCAGCCAAGGGTGTCTTGAGCTCTAGCTAAGGTCTCAGGGGAACAACAATCAATGCCCTCCCACCCCACAGACTCCTGAGTGACACTGAGCTTTGACAAAATCTACTTGGCATTTGTCTTGTCATTCCACTATAAAGATGCCACCGTATACTATCCTGTTTGCTTGGTTGGTTTTAAAATCAGCTTTTATGTGTCACCCTTACAAGGTCTGATCCAAAAAACCACTCAAGTCAAAGGAAAGAGTCCTATTAATTTCAGTGGGCACTTGATCAGACCCATAATCAGAGCCATCCTTACACACACATAGAAGACACAGTTGCACAGTTGGGCACCTTGGGTCTTAATGTCCACTCACCTACCTCTTTCTATCCCTGATCTGTGGCTCTGCTTCCTCCAGAGAGGATCTAGTTCAGTGTTTCTCAATCTTTTTTTTATAATGTACTCCTTTTTTAAAAAATTACAAGTATCTCCAGGACCTACAGTTTTCAGATACACTCAAAAATTTTCTACCATTGCAACACATTTGTTTAAACAACTTAATCATCACCGGGCAAGCAATGACATTTTTGGGTATAAAAAATAGAAAACTAATAAAGCGCTGAAAAACTTAAAACAAAATTTCAGTTTTCTCCAAATTGTTTTCTCCAATAGTTGTGTTGAAGTATCCCCCAGACTTCTCTCGAGTACCCCTAAGGATACTCATACCACTGGTTGAGAAACACTGATCCAGTTAACTCACACATGGAAAAGCCTGACAGGGCTATTAGCAGAACCCTGAACCTCTGAAGGAGCCATTCAAGGGATAATGAAGCCATTTAACAGACATTTACCAGCTCCAGGTGCATTCTGTCAGTGTCTGAATTTGCTGTGTTAGTTGATAGGACCTGAGTTTAAAATTTATTTTAAAATTTTGCATTAGTGTGTTGCTGAATGGTCTAAAAATCACACTTCTAAAAAAAATCATTGTCCCTCCTCTGGCAGCCATCGGCCATCGGGACACAAGTTTAATAGTACAGGCAGTCCCCGGGTTACGTACAAGATAGGGACTATAGGTTTGTTCTTAAATTGAATTTGTATGTAAGTCGGAACTGGTACATATTGTAGGGGAAACTCTAGCCAAACATTTCTCCAGAGCTCAGTTTTATTCTCCCACACCTCACTTCCCTCAGTCCTTTATTCTCAAGCTGAGGTGTCTGCTGAGAAAAGCCGCTCCGCGTCTCCCTGGTCTGCTGGGGAGAAGCAGCTAGTGCGGGGTTGCCTCAGTCTGCGGGGGGGAAACAGCTAGTGCGGGGTTGCCTCACCCCGTTTGTAAGTAGGGATTCGATGTAAGTCGGATCCATGTAACCCGGGGACTGCCTGTACTGCATTGTTTAGGGCTGTGTCTACACTGGGCCACTTATTCCGGAAAATCAGCCACTTTTCCAGAATAAGCTGCGAGCTGTCTACACTGGCCCTTGAATTTCCGGAAAAGCAATGACGCTCTACTGTACAAAATCAGCCGCTATTCCGGAAAAACTATTCTGCTCCTGCTCGGGCATAAGTCCTTATTCCGGAACACTGTTCCGGAAAAGGGCCAGTATAGACAGCCCAGTAGTCTTTTCCGGAAAAAAGCCCCGATCGCGAAAATGGCAATCAGGGCTCTTTTCCGGAAAAGTGCGTCTACATTGGCCACGGACGCTTTTCCGGAAAAAGGGCTTTTCTGGAAAAGCAGCCTGCCAATGTAGACGCTCCTTTTCCGGAAAAACTGAAAACAGAATAGTATTCCGTTTTAAGCAGTTCCGGAAATTCATGCCAGTGTAGACACAGCCTAGTTGTTTAATAGTACATACATCCTAAGAACAGTCTGCCCGAATAGCAGCTGTCAACAACCTAAAGAGGGGCTCCAAAGAGGATGGAGAGAGGCTGTTCTTGGTGGTGACAGAACGAGGAGTAATGGTCTCAAGTTGCAGTGGGAGAGGTCTAGGAAAAACTGTTTCACTCGGAGGGTGCAAAAGCGGCGAGGAGTCCTGTGGCACCTTATAGACTAACTGAAGTGTTGGAGCATAAGATTCAATGGGCAAAGACCCACTTCGTCAGATGCATGTCATCTAGGAGGGTGGGGAAGCACTGGGATGGGTTCCCTAGGGAAGGGTTGGAATCTCCATCCCTAGAGGTTTTTAAGTCCCAACTTGACAAAGCCCTGGCTGGTATGACTGAGTTGGGATTGGTTCTGTTTTAGGCAGGGGGTCAACTCAATGACCTCCTGAAGTCTCTTCCAGCCTAGGATTCTAATAGCTATATTTGCTGTTCCTACAGGAATTAACGATGGATTCTTTATACATAAGTGCAAGATAAATGCTACCCTGTATCTACCTTCACTCTTGCACGGGAATCATAATAATTCAAAGTGACGACAAGTCTGTTCAAATCAAGCACAGCTGGAAATTTCAGTACATAATGCCTTTGGAGTAGCAATGAATCCCATTAGACATTGCCACCTCAAGTGATATCTGTTTTCATATGCTGGGCTGAAACCTGAAACACAGTAAATATCACGGCAGAATCCATTCATTTGAAAAAAGA